TGACCACAAGAAAAATTACAGTTAGTGATATAAGTATCAGAAAGTACTAATAAAAGCAAATACAAATCTTTGTTCATATTAATTCAACTTCCCCTCACTATAACAAGTACTATTATCATCTCCAACTTAGAGATTAAAAAAACCTATAGAAGAGATTTATACCATTATAAGAACGTATTTCTAAGAATAATATCAAGGATAAAACCAAAAAGGTAGACATTTACTATCTTAAGATTATTTTGGGCCACAACAAAGATAAACCTACAGAACAAAATGAAAGGCAAGAAATGAGAAGGAAAAGCTCTGTGATACATGTTGATGAAGACAAGTTCTTAATGTTCATAACATACAAAGAGCTGTCACAAACAACAAGAAGCTCCCTCACTTAAATGTGTGCAAAGTCAAAAGGGATCATTCACTTTTTAATAGTCAGATGGCTAATGAGTGAAAAATGCTCAATACCTCACTGGTCATCAAGTGCAAACTAAAACAATGAAAAAGCACTTTTGCTCATCATATTGGCAAATATTTTTAAAAGATATTCTAGCTAGTGTCCATCTTTGAGAGAACAAATTGTGAGCGATCTTTTTGGAGGACGACATGTCAATGGATATGTAAACTCTGAAAAACGTGTGTACACACAGACTGAACTCCAATTTTAGGAATCATTTCGTTAGGAAAAATAATCAGTTCAAAAAGATGTACTCATCAGGATATTGTCACAGCACTGTTTACAATGGTGGGAAGAAAAGCTGGAGTGAAATCATATCCAGCGATAGAGAATTGGTTACATAAGTTATTGTGCATTTTTTCATTCCCCACAGGAGAAGGAATTTCTAGAGTCACTTGAAAGGAGCCTGTGATGTATGTAATTGTCACATCCAGGGACTAAATTTCCAGAAATCTTAACGAAAGGAATACTCATACAAGATCACAGGAATGTTTGTACAAGAAGGATGCCAGTCAAACATCCTTTCTGACAGTGGAAAATGGAGAAAACTGTCCACCATCAAGACAATGATGCGGTAAATCAAGGGGAGCTGTGGGCACTTAGGGGACGGCATTTCGGCGTGGTCCAAGGCCTTGTCCACAGTACTCCCCCACCAAAGTTGTCCTTACACAAGAGACCAAACCTGCAGATCAGGAGACCCCTACTCTATCTGAAAGTACTGGGTGAGTCTGGAGTGGGAGGACGTCTATGATATACACCTGAGTGAATAAACCGAGCTGCAGAAAACATATAGTATGGCCTTAGTTTTCAATAAAGCATATATACACACACATATACATAGATTTCTTATATACCTGTATGTATCTGTGTGTATATATATATGACATAGGCATAAAGGTCATGAAATATATACACCACATTGTCAGCAGTTTATACTCTCAGGAAAAATGGGAAGGGATGTAGGGGCCTTTCGGTACCACCACAGTACCCTTTTCAGTATTTCAGTTAAATATACTTGGAATTTAAAGGTTTATTTAAGTACGGAGTAAAATGGACGTTGCCTCCAGAAGACAGAATGCTATACTGGTCATTAAAAATCATGCCAGGGGAGATAGAATATTGTAGAAAAACGTGTAATAAGCCAAATGGAAAATGGAGTTCTCC